GACTGGAGGCCTGCTCGGCTGCGAAGTCGCTCGGTTTGCTTATTCCTCTTTTCCTCCTCCTCCAATTCCTCCTCTGACCTGAGTGCCTTCAACCTTGGGCGCGTCGCCGCGCGTCGTCCACGCGCAGCGCCGCCGACACACTGCTTGCGCAAGCTTCGCCATCAGGCGATTCTCTGACGCAGCGGCGCCGTTTCTCGCGCGGTCTCGCACGAACGCGATAAGCCGCGCGCGCGTGGAATCAGTCCCGATCTTCCTCCTCTCGTCTTTCTCAAACCTCAAGGCCTTCAACCTGGGGTGCATCGGCGCGAGTCTTCCACGTGCGACGCAGCCGAATCCCCGCGTCGCGCCAGCGTCGCCTTACCACGACTCCTCGACGCGCCGGCAACGATCCCCCGCGGCTGTGCGCGCGCGCGATTAACCGAATGTCAGCGCACGCGCTTCTGTGCATCATCTCTGCTATTCCTCCAACCTCCATGGTTTCAGCCTTGCTCGCGTCGCCTCGCGTCGACGACATTTCGCGCCGCCGAACCCTCGCGTCGCGTCGGCACCCCCCTTTCCGACGATTGGTGCCCCGATGCGTCGGCCTTGGTGCTTGCCCCCCCTAGCCGCCGCTTCGTGGGGGAGCGGGAGAACGACCGCCTCGTTCGGCCGCCGCTCGCCTGACCTCCAACGACGTGATTTTTTACCATTTGCGACCCAGAAATCCAAATCTCCCCCCTGGAGTGCATAAGTCGCTTTGGATGCAGCTACGACCCCGGGGGCCGAGCGCGGCCCCCGCGGGCGGACATCAGGGGGAAACGCTTCTAAAACAGAAAGCGCCCTCCTCACCTCCTCCGAATCGAGACCGCTCGCCCAGAAACCAGTCCGCCCAGGAACCCGTTCGCCCAGAAATCCGCTCGCCCGTAGGCCCGCTCGCCCGGGGGCCCGCTCGCCCGGAGGCCCGCTCGCGCGGAGGCCGTTCGCCCAGAGGCCGTTCGCCCGCTTGCCCGCTCGCGCGGCGGGCGGACCCTGGCGGGCGGGTTTGGTCGAGCAGGCGAGACATTATGCGCGACCGAGCTGGCGCGCGCGCAGCCTTGTGCGCGGGCCGGGCCGGGCGCGCGGGCCCTGACGGGCGGGCCGGGTCGGGTCGGGCGGGCGGGCCTTGGCGGGCGGGCTGGGTCGGGCGGGCGGGACATTACGGCGCGGTCGCAAGCGGGCCGGCACGCGCGCGCCCTCGCGGTCGGGCCGGGTCGGACGGGCAGACTTCGCTGGGCGAGCCGGGTCGGGTCAGGCGGGCGGGGCATTAACGCATGGCGCTCAATCGAACCGGCACGTGCTTGCCCAAACGTGCGGGTCGGGTCGGGCGGGCGGGCCCTGACGGGCGGGTCGGGTCGGTCGGGCGCGACGTTCAGGTTCGGTGCGCAATCGAGTTGGCGCGCGCGTGCCCTGGCGGACGGGCGGGCCCTAACGGGCGAGTCGGTCGGGTCGGGCGGGCGGGCCCTGACGGGCGGGTTAGGTTGGGCGGGCGGGGCGTTGCTGCATGGCCGCGGTCGGGCTGGCACCCGCGCGCCCTCGCGGTCGGGTCGGGCCTGGTAGTCGCCACCCACCAAGCCGCCCCGACCCAACCCGAAGCCCTTAATTTGCCATCCATTTCCGGTGTGGGCGGGGCCGGGAACTTTGAAAGACGCATGGGGCCCGCGCGCCCCCCAACCTGAAATTCGGGCCAAATTCGGCTCTTCGAGTTGGGTTGGGGCAGTCTGGTAGGTGGTCAGACGGGCGCGCCGGGCCGGGTCAGGCGGGCGGGCCGGGCGGGCGGGACATTGACGTGTAGTTCGTGATCGTTTTGGCGCGCGCCCGCCCGGGCGGGCGGGTCGGGTCGGGCGGGCGGGCTCTGACGGGTGGTTCGGGTCGGGCGGGCGCAACGCTGGGGCATTGTGCACAATCGAGTTGGCACGCGAGTGCCCTGGCGCGCGGGTCTGACGCGCGGGCCCTAATGGGCGGGCTGGGTCGGGTCGGGCGGGCCCTGGCGGGCGGGTTGGGTCGGGCGGGCGGGGCGTTAGAGCGGCCGGCACGCGCGTGCCCTCGCGGCCGGGTCGGGTCGGGCGGGCGGACTTTGACGGGCGGGCCAGGTCGGGCCAGGCGGTCGGGTCGGGCGGGCGGGGCACAAAGTGCGCAATCGAACTGGCGCGCGTCTACCCAAACGGGCGGGTCGGGTCGGGCGGGCGGGCCTCGGCGGGCGGGTCGGTCGGGTCGGGCGCGACGTTAAAGCATGGTGCAGAATCGAGTTGGCACGCGCGTGCCCTGGCGCGCGGGTCGCGTCGGACGGGCGGGCCCTGCCAGGCGGGTCGGGTCGGGTCGGGCGGCCGGGCCCTGGCGGGCGGATTGGGTCGGGCGGGCGGAGCGTTACCGCGCGGTCGCAATCGGGCCGGCGCGCCCGCGCCCTCGCGGTCGCGGGCGGGCGGGGCGGGCCGCAGCGGGCGCGTCGCGTCGAGCGGGCGGGGCATGGCGGGCCAGGTCGGACGGGCGGACGGCGCGGGTCGGATTGGGTCGGGCGGGCGGACTCTACCGGGCGGGGCAGGTCGGGCGGGCTGGGCACTAAAGTATAATAAGTCTGCAATCGAGCTGTCACGCGTCTATCCTAGAGGGCTGGGCGGATCGGCCGGGCGGGCGCTAGCTGGCGCGTCGGGTCGGGCGGGCGGGGCGTTCAACTATAGTGCACAGGCGAGTTAGCACGCGCGTGCCCTAACGGGCCGGTCGGGTCGCCGGGCGGGTCGGGCGCGTCGGGCGGGCAAACCCTCGCGAGCGAGCGGGTCGGGCGAGCGGCGCATTAACGTATAGTGCATTATCGAGTTGGCACGCGTCTATCCTAATGCGCGTGTCCAGTCGGGTCGGGTCGGGCGGGCGGACCCGAATAGGCGGGTCGGGTCGGGCGGGCGTGGCATTAAAGTATAGCGCACAATCGAGTTGGCACGCGCGTGCCCGAATGGGCGGGCTGGGTCGGGCGGGCGGACCCTAACGCGCGGGTCGGGTCGGGTCGGGCGGAATAGTTAGATGTCATACGCAGTGGACTTGGCACGTGTCTACCGTAGCGGGCGGGTCGGGTCGGGCAAGCGGAGTTTGACGGGCGGGTCGGGTCCGGTCGGGCGGGCGGACTTTACCGGGCGGGTCGGGTCGGGCGGGCGGGACATAACATTATTGTGCGCAATCGAAATGGCACACGTGTACCATAACGGGTACTGACTGTTGTGTTGGAAACGGGGGTTTGGGGCATTTGGGGGCTGCAATGGAGACGGAAATTGTTGAGGAAGATTGTAATGTTTGGTTGCTCGCGGGGCTGGGGCTGTGAAGTATTGGAATATCGGATGATGTGTTGGAAACGGAGGCTTTGTAGTACTGGGTGTTGTGTTGGATACGAAGGTTGTCGACGAGAATTGTATGTTTGGGGTGCATATGGGGCGTGCGTTTTGCATGATTGCGTGATGTGTTGGAAACGTTGGCCGTGTAGTAATGCGTGCTGTGGTAGAGACGGAGGCTGGGGAATGTTGTGTTGCGGACGGAGGCTGTTGAAGAGGATGTAGTTTTTAGTTACATTTGGTGTGGGGGTTGTGGAATATTGGGGGTTGCGGTGGAAACGGATGCTGTTGAGAAAAATGATGTATTTGTACTTTTGGGGCGGAGGCTCTGGAGTATTAAGAGCTGCGTTGCAAACGGAGGGTGTGGAGTACTGGGTGTTGCGTTGGAGACGGAAGCTGTGGAGTATTGGGTGCTGTGTTGGAGACGGAGGTTGTTGAGAAAGTCTTGCTTTGTTGTTTCAGTTGGGGCGGTGGCGGGGGAGTAGGGTGATGGGTGATGTGTTGGAGACGGAGGCTGGGGAGTCTTGCGCGCTGTGGTGAAGACACAGGCTGTGGAATGCCTTGCTGGAGGTGGATGTTGTTGAGGAGGATGGTGTTGTTCTGTTACACTCGGGGTGTGGGCTGTGGTATTGGGGGCTGCGTTGGAGACGGAGGCGGTGGAGTAGTGGGTGTTGCGTTGGAGACGGAGGCTGTCGAGGAGCATGGTAGCAGTGTGCTTTTTAGTTACACCTGTGGCGGCTGCGGAGTATTGGGTGCAGTGTAGAGACGGAGGCTGTGGAGTATCGAGTGTTGTGCTGGCGACGGAGGTTTTGGAGTAGTGGGTGCTGTGTTGGAGACGGGGGCTGCTGAGGAGGACTGCATTTTGTTGGTTGCACCTGGGGGTGGCTGTGGAGTGTCGCGAACTGCGTTGGAGACGGAGGCTGTGGATTATTCGTTGTTGTGTTGGAGACGGATGTTGTGGAGTAGAGGGGTGTGTTCAGGCTACGCCAGCTGAGTATTGAATGGCGTATTGGACTCGAAGGCTGCAGGGGTTGCGGGAACGGGCCTCTGCAGGAGCGGGCCTCTGCCGGAACGGGCCTCTGCCAGAGCGGGTCTCTGCCAGAACGGGCCTTTGCTGGAGCGGGGCTCTGCCGGAAGGCGCCTTTGCCAGAGCGGGCTTGTTCGAGTGAATTTAGATTGTTCGGATTAAAGTTCGCTCGTATTTACATTCGTTCGAGTTGAAATTCGCTCGAGTTTAAATTCGCTCGGATTTAGAATAGATCGTGTTTAGATTCGCTCATGATTAAATTCTCTCGGCTAAAAATCCGCTTGAATTTAAATTCGCTCGGGTTGAAATTTGCTCGAATTAAAATTCGCTCGGATTTGAATTCGCTCGGGTTTTAATTCGCTCGGATGCAACGCTCTCGAACGGGCATCCGCGCCGGGGGGGGTCCGCGCAAGTACACCTAAGCAACCTGAGTAAAAACCAGGCGACACGAAAATGAGCGAAACGAAACCGTACCGAACAAACAAACGAGCGAAACAAGCGAGCAAAACGAACGCGAGCGAAAAAACGCGAGCGAACAAAACATCGAGCGAACAAAGCATCGAGCGAATCAAAACCGAGCGGGCAGAAAACGAGCGAAAAGAAAACGAGCGAGAACAACAAAAACAACGAGCGAAACAAAACGACACCACATGGGCGACCTGGTTCGCCCCCCCCCAAGGGGGAGGGCGTGTGGCCATTCTTTTGTGGCAGGCACGCTGGCCTCGCGGCCGACTTCCCGCCGCGCAGCTGGGCGCTGCCCTTCCGTCTGCAACAAAGCACTCACGACGATAGCAACATCCTTTACACTGCACGGTTGTTGTCCAGAGTTTCGTGCTTGGCAGAGCTCAGGTTGCGGAGCCCTTAGATTGCCGCGGCGGGCTTGCATTTAGATGTTGTTGATTGTTGGACCTCTCTCCCCTCCTGTCCAGAAATTTGCAGACTCTTTGGGGCCCCTTCCATGGCTCTGGAGGGTCGAGAAGTCGCGCCCAGAAGGAAATTCAAAGACCCCTTTAGTGCTGAATTCTCTGTGCAGCAGCGAATTTCGTTACTTTTTCGTTGCGTCCAACTTCTGCGCAGCAGGGCATAGGTGCCAGAGGTGCCAGAGATGCTTTGGCATCCACACTGCCCACCCTGACGCTGTTTCGCGTGCCAGGCACCGCCCTCATTGCCAAAGGGCGTCTCTGCCAACACCTGTTTGTTTCAGATGGCCGGGCAAATCATGCTAGCCGCTAGCTCTGAAGTCGAAATTGGGCGCGTCTATCCTCCTGTCCTTGCCGCGTGGCCGATGGCTTGCGGGGCACACTGCACCCAGCCGCCGACTGGTGTTTCCTTCCCCTGCGTCTCGTTACGCCCCTTCTCGTCCCCCGGAGGCGGAGCGCCGGCTCGCCTTGTTGGAATTTGCTTTCTCTTCGCATCATCTGTCTGTCTCGTATTCGCTCCTCCCCGAATGGTGCAACTCCAGAGCTAGACCAGAGCGTGAGGCTCGCCGCACCGCATCAGCGCGATGTGGTGCAAGCTATTATTTCCCTTCTGTCCAGGCCGCGTGACCGATGGTCTGAGGGAAGCGCTGCGCCCACCAGCCGATTGGGCCCTCGTCCCCATCCCCCCTCCTCCTCGCCTCCTCTGGTCATGTTGTGTGTATTCAGTATTGTTGGCCTTGGGGGTTCGGGAACTATTTGTATGCGGCACGTTCGCTTTTGCTTTCAGGCCAAGGTTCACTGCAGGAGTTTGCCTACCGCAGCTCGGCTCGTGTGAGGTTCCTGGTTGCCTGGCTTCGTTTTGATTCGCACAACTTGGAGCGTAGCTAGCCTACTCATCGCTGGTGACGAGGGGAGCAGGTAGACTACAGATGGCCACCAGGTACAGGTGCGTGCGTAATTACGCGTCCGTCGCGTCAAAGCCTGCCCTAAGGGGGATACACACGATCGAGAAAGGCATAGTACCAGTACGGACGAGGATGGACCAGGGGGACGTGGGACAAGGAGGAGTGGGAAGGCTAAGGAGGATGCGGTGGAGGAGGATAACGATAATGGTGACCACGAGAATGGGGAGCAGGAGGAGCAGCAGCAGGAGGGGGTACTCGAGCTCTGAGCTTGGTGGCGCTCTGGGTCCCGGCGATTTCCCGCGGCGCTTCGCACCGTCCCCGCCCGCCTTTCCCCGGACCAGCGACAACAGGGGCGGCGGCTGCTGCTGATTTGAGCCGCCGGGCGCGGGGCAGTAGCGATCCGGGCGCTGAGGAAGTGGGAAGGAGGTGGAGGAGGACGATGGCGGAAGGGGGAGAGTCGGGGGGAGACAGGGCTCAAGCATACCTACACGACCACCCTGCGGGTGATAAGGAGGTTGGGGGGGGGAGGGGGCCAGCAATGGGCAACAGTGGTGATTGTTGTTCTGACGATGCCAGTGGAGAGTGTTGCGTTGCCGCTCGCTCTTGGGAGCCTTGGTGTGGAGTTGTTTACGTCACCCTTCGCTCTTGGGCGCCTTGGTACCAGACCCCCCCTCCCGGGAACTAATGAAATAATGAATTATTTCGTTATTTTTGCAAGGGTTTGGGGGGCCGTTTGGGCGCGTCTTTTGGACCTCTTTGGGGGCTCTTGGGGGCCTCTTGGAGGGCTCTTGGGGGCCTCTTGGGTGCCTCTTGGGAGCCTTTCGGGGATGGCGCACGCTTGTTGCTTTTCTGGCCCCGCGCGGTCGAGCATCCGAACGTACAGGCGGCGGGAGCTGGCCAGCGGCAAAGTCTGGTGCGGGCGTCCAGCGCCATCACGATTGCCGCGACAGGTAAACATAATGCAAATCATTGTTGCCCATGTAAACAAAGACGGTGGCGTTTTCTGGCCCCTCAGACGGGATCGCCCAGTGCACCAGCGCCGTCGGTGGAGTGAAAGGGATGAGAGTGATGCGGATGCCCAACCCCACGGCGGCCGACATCACGACCAACTCGTCCACATACTCTTTAGTTACCAGCTTCTGTTCCCAGCGAGTGCACAGCGCCTCGGTGCGCACGGGGCCCATACGTCCAGACCAGCGAAGGCCGGGCATAGTATGTTTTTTTTTCATGTCGGTTCTGAGCAGCACGGCGGTTTCGCCGCCGCAGAACTGGGTCCGGAGAGTTTCCGCCACTACGCCCAAAGGCGAGTGACGCACGCCAGCGATCTCACTATCGATCTCACGATCGATCTCTCTATCCATCTCACTCGATCGATCTCACTATCGGTTATACTCATTCGATCTCACCACAGATCTCACTATCGCTGTCACTGTCGATCCCACAATCGATTTCACCATCGATATCACTCGATCTATCTCGCTATCGATCTCACTATCGATTTCACCATCGATCTCACAATCGATCTCACTATCGGCCTCACTCATAGTTTTCGCACCAGCGGGACACCGGGACACCAGCGGGACACCAGCGGGACACCGTGCGGCCCCGTTTGCCCGAGGGGAATCATTCTGTCCGGCCGCGCTTCAGTCACAGGAGACTTACCGGGACACCAGCGGGACGCCGGCGGGACACCGCGCGGCCCCGTTTGCCAGGGAGGGAATCATTTTGTCCAGCCGCGCCTCAGCGACAGGAGACTTTCCTCTCGCCCGCCCGCGCAGCTTCGCCTCGCCCGCACGCGCGGCACGCACGAACACGAAACCGAAACCGATTTCCCGGTGGGGGGGCTCCTCCGTTCCACTTCGATTTCGCCCCCCAACCTCCGATCTTGTAGTTTGCCTTCGTTGCCGCCAGTAACCAAGGCTACCAGAAGGTAGCCGCGTCAAGTCTGTGGGCACGTCGAAGGAACAGGGGGAGGACGACGACGAGGGAAGATGCGGGTTATTGTGGAAAGGCTCCGGAGGGTTCGAGGAGGTCTCATTGGGTCGGGCTTTCAAGAGGAGGGGATGGAAGAATGAGGGAGACGAGGGGGGAGGGGGAGGAAAAGGAGTAAAATGAGAGGAGGGATATGAATCGGAGGGACCGAGAGAGAGGCCCACGAGGGCACGCGACGGTGAGCGGGGGCGCCGCGCCGCCGTACGCCGAAGTCCCCGATGACCCCGACCGTCAGGGAGAGTTGAGAGATCGACAGGGAGGCCCCCGTACGCGTGTGAGCAGGGAACCCAACAGGTATCAACGGCAAGGAAATTCGCGCGTAAGCTGCCCGCAGAGGTCGCGCGCAAGCACCCTGTGTTTCTACGCGGTGTGCCGCGGTGGCGGTCTGCGTACGCCACCGCGTAAGGCCACGACGTCCTTTTTCGTAAAGCCTTCTCTGTGCCGTGGCCCATGTAGATGCCCATGGCGCCCTGGAAGCACAGACAAACTTGACCTCGATTTCCTGAGTTTGGACACTCGGAGGCCCGAGCGTCCTGAAGAATGTGGGGCCGGCCGTCTTTTTCAGTTCGAGCCCTCGGGGCCCTAGGTCGCGCCCTGGTAATTGCCTCCACTGTATCTTGCTGGCTGCAATCGTTTGGGATGCGTGTGGATGTTGGGAACCCTTTTGCCGACCCCTCGGCACATTCGACGTTGGGCGTTTGCGGGTCTGCGGCGCATCCGCAGAGGCGCCCCATGGGTTGCGGCCACCTTGACTACGCAGGAAAGTGTTCTGCAAAGGGGGCAGGGCTGGATTGTCCGAATGCTGCCCGCGCTTGTGGGGACCCCGCGCCGACGCATGTCCAGAGGGTGAACATCGTCCTTACCGACGCGTGCCAAATCGCCCACCAGATGGTGAACACAATGGGGAGAAGTGGTTTGATTTACATTGTTCGGTGGCGAGGGCGAGGTCGAATTTTACCCTCTGAAGTATCGCGCATCGCGTGCCCGTGGACAGCACGCGGGGTGCCTTCGGAACGTCAGAAAGCATTTTCCTTCCTTTCTTTCTTTCCCATTCCTCCAGCACTCGCGAGTCCGCGTGCCTGTGGGACGCTGGCGCCCAGCCCGAGGTCGCTGCGACTCAGCGTTGTTGCCCCCAGCGCGGGCGCGCCGTTTTAAGCCCTGCTGCCGACGAAGGGAGGGGCGGACTTTCATCACAGGTGCTGCGCCAAGGCCAACTCGGGCCGATTCACAGGGATGGATGCTGCTCCTCACCATGCCCTGCTCCTTCTCGCCATTCTCGTTCTGGGCGGGGGAGGAGGCGACCCCTCTCCCTCGCCATCCTGCCCCTCTGCCTTCCCGCCCTGGAGAGGAGGGGGAACTTATCGACGACATTCTCTATTTCTGTTAGATCTGAAATAGCGTGTTCTACCGCTGCTGGCGGAAAACGGGGGGGGTCCCAACCCGACCCCCCCCCATCCCCCCCCCCTCGCTCGAAAACCCGGGGAAGGTCACTACCGGTTCGAACCCTCCCCACCCCCAGTCCATCATGAAAAGGCGGGGGGGGTCACTACCGATTCGATCCCCCCACTCTCCCTCGAAAACCGGGGGGGTCACTACCGGTTCGAACACCCCCCCCCTCGAAAACCGGGGGGGGGTCGCTACCGGTTCGAACCCCCTCGCCGCTGGCAAACGACTCCCGCTCCTCGGGACAGTTGGACAATGGTTGGGATGCTGGGACAGTGGTGGGACCGGTGGTGGTGGGGACAGTGGTGCGGGCACAGTGGGACAGTGGTGGGGACAGTGGTGGGGACGGTGGTGGTGGGGACACTGGTGAGGGGACAGCGGGACAGTGGTGGGGACACTGTGATGGGGACAGTGGAGACGGTGGGACAGCACAGTGGGACAACGGCGGGGACAGTGGGACAGTGGTGGGTAGAGTCGGGACAGTGGGACAGTGGTGGGGACCGTGGGGAAAGTGGGGAGTGGGACCGTGGTGGGGCAATGGTGGGGAGAGTGGGGACAGTGAGGCACTGGTGGGGGCACTGGTGGGGACAGCGGGGACAATGGTGGGAACAGTGGGGACAGTGGGACAGTGGTGGGGACGGTGGTGGTGGGGACAGTGGTGTGGGGACAGTGGGAATGTGGTGGAAACAGTGGGACAGAGGAGAGTACAGTGGTGGTGGGGACAGTGGTGAGGGCGGTTGCGAGGACGGCGGTGGGATAATGAGACAGAGGTACAGTGGGGACAGTGGTGGGGATAGTGGGGACAGTGGTGGGAACAGTGGGACAGCTCTGTGGGACAGCGGCGGGGACAGTGGGACAGTGGGGACAGTGGGGCAGCGGTTGGGGCCGTGGAGAAAGTGGGGAGAAAGTGGGGAGAGTGGAACCGCGGGCGGACGGTGGTGCTGGGGGACAGCTGTGGGTGATGTGGTGCGGACGGTGGTAGGGACCCGGGAGTCGTTTGCTGGCGGTGAGCGTGGGGAGGGGGGAGGTTCGAACCGGTAGTGACCCCCCCGGTTTTCGAGGGGGCGGGGGGGTTCGAACCGGTAGTGAACCCCCCCGGTTTTTGAGGGGGGGGGGTCGAACCGGTAGTGACCCCCCGGTTTTCGAAGGGGGAAAGGGGGGTTCGAACCAGTAGTGGCCCCTCCCTGGTTTTCTGGAGGGGGGAAAGAGGGGTTCGAACCAGTAGTGACACCCCTCTGGTTTTCTGGTGGGGGGAGGGGTTCGAACCGGTAGTGACCCCCCCGGTTTTCCCGGTTTTCTGGAGAGGGGGGGGGATTCGAACCGGTAGTGACCACCCCCGGTTTACCGGAGGGGGGGGGGTTAGGGGAGGGGGGGGTTTTGCCGGGGGGAAGGGTGGAAGGGGGTTCCAGCAGGGGGGGGAGGATTTTCGGAGGCGGGGGGGGGCCCTCGGGCTCCGGAGGAAGAGGGGAGGGAATGTTCCACAGTAAAGCGGCGGTGGATCACGTTCTCTCTTAGATCTGAGAAGTTGTTCGCGAATGCCCCGCATGCAACTCGACATGAAAAGTGCACAATACTCGCAAGAAGGCGAGCAGCATGCATGGTGGTCGCAGAATCAGAGGTGGTCCTTGGGCTCATGTTCTTTACGTACGATTGTTCCGTCTTGGCGGAAACGAGGTCTGCATGCATGGATTTTGAATTAGTTTCACCTTTTTCGCGGCACTGGTGCTTCATTCGCCTTGGCTTCGCTCGCGGCGAACTCAAATGACGACAGTCCCGTTTCCAAGACTACTACGAGCGCGCTTGTTCAAGATTCGGTTGGATGGTCCATTCAGCGTTTACTGTTGCAACTACCTGTTCGGCATGGTACCCATATCGTCTTCGGCTTGTCTCGCCCAGTTTGGTAAACGCGATCAACGATTGTTTTCAAGTGGCATGCGTTTGGCCGTGTCCCAAGCAGGACTAAATGTTTCGATGTCGTCGCACGTCGCAGTGCGCATTCATGTAACCCACAAGCCCGTGGAACGTGGTTGGATGGCAAGACTTCCGTGTTCATGCTGGCTTTATTTGTCACGGTTGCAGCAACAGGTTCTGGCTTTTTACCAGTGTTGGCGCGTCTTGGACCGATTGGATAGTCTGATCTCAGAACAGAGCGCATTGAGTTTGCGCTGCTTGCGTTGTCTTGTAATGTTAAGCGCACGTGCATGCTCACAGTTGCAACGCAGCCCAAAGCTACACTCGGAACTTGAAATCACTGCACCGCGCGTTGCGTGCCCAGCAGGCTGCTAAAGCTTTGGGGCCGGTTGGTGGGCTTCTCCTTGTGTAGTTGTTGAGCTGAGCAGCTGCCGGGATGGACGATGTAGAGGTCGCAGCAGCTGTCGAGGTGGGTGACTCCAATGCAAGGCGGCAACACTGTTGCATTGAATACGCTTGCAGAGACTGAACCGCCAGATTAGGAAGTATTTGATGCAGTGCTTCTACCAGCAACCATTCATTACATTCAGTGATCAGCATGTTTGATTGTAGTGTTGGAGTGGTTGGTTAATCTTGGTTGCAGGGTTCTGATCTATTCCGCGCTGTTGCCTCTCCTATACCAGCGAAGTGCGAGTTGCCACGCTTCGCGGTCGCACGTCCAGCTTGTGACCTACATAGAGGCACGCGGAGACGGAATCAGCAAGGTCAAGAGCTGGGCAACTTTTTCAGATGGTTTCCAGCATTTGTCGTCGGCACCGCCGTCAGTGCCGCAGTTGCATGGAGGACGTTCACAGAAGCGCACATTTACACACGTAGTTGATCCGTTCCGCTCTGGATGCCCACACTCCCAGCACCACTGCGCCCGCGGGCGTGGTGGTATATCCACCCGTCGCCTCACGGCGTAGGCACTGGCGTTGCACGCTTAGTGAGGGGAACGTGCTCTGGCGCGTGTTCGCCACCGCACTTGGCGAAGCTCGGCAGCAAGGTTGGATCGCGTGACACGGCCAGGCTGTAGCGTTGCAGGATTGTTGCGTGACCTTCGAATCGGGTTATCGCTTGAAAGTGTTTTGTTGAGCCCTTTCACGGCCTCTCGGGAGTTTTCCGCTTTGCGGTAGGTTTTAGGGCGACTTGTAGTCTAGAGAGGTACTGGGGTCCTATGGTTGCTGGGAGTTATCTGGTAGTTTGGGGCCGATCTTGGGCTGTCTTAGGGTCCTCTTCAGGCGGTTCTGGGCCGCCTGGGCTGAACGTCTTGGCAGAGCCTAAGGCCAGCTTGAAGCCGACCAGGATCCTTTCGGAGAGACTTCCTTCGGCCTCCAGGGACACGTTCGACAAGCGAAGTTTGGGACCGAAGAGACGCGACTTGAGATTTCATTGGATGGCGATGCCATTGTGTCCTTCGCCATCGCACACGAAGCGCGGATACCTGGAGAGCTGATGCGGGAGCCTTTGGCGCCTTTTTGGGGCATCTCTGTAGGCTGTGTGGGGTCGTCGGGCTGTGCTTCTGGGCGCGGCGTGTGTCGTTTGGAGCATATGTCTGCCGTCCGAGGGAGGCAATGGGAAGGCGTGGCCTTCTATGATGTTCGGTTGGGTTGTCATGGGCGATGCTGTGGAAGGCTTGGGGCTGACAGAATTGCAGCTTGGAGGGTCAGAGAGTCGCCTACGGTGAAGCACCGAACCAACTAAATGGGAAAACTTACCGTGTGTTGCGAATTCACGCCTGGTGGTCAAAGACCGAACGTTGGCCACGTGTTGGCCTCAATGCGGACAGGCGAGGTACTTCTTGCCTCGCGAGGGTGGGGAGCAAGGACACGCTAGGGGCCCGACACAAAAGCCGTGGCAAGGTGCTAAGGCTTCCTTGGACAATCATGTTTTTACGGTCCCAAGGCAAGGGGAGGACCACAAGGGCCCGCAGACGGCGAACAAACATTGGGACCAGTTTCCTCCAGGATTGTCTTTTGTCGTGGCGAGTTTTTGTCCAGCGAATTTGCGCAGAGTGTGGCGCTCGAGGTGTGGCATGGGCTCCCTGCAGTGGGGCGGGCGGGCCTTGCAGTTTCAGCCAGCTCTGCGCCGAAACCCCGCAGGCGAGGCGCGTTTACCGACGACGCCGGACCGGACGAAGGACCTCAGCTCTAGCCCGGGCAGGGAACGCACAGAACACGGGCATTGGGATGTGTTGCCTTGCCGTGTTTCACCCGCTTTTCTTTTCTTACCTCCTCGTGTTGGGGCACTGCGACCGACGTACACTCCTCGAATCCTCGTTAGCCCATTTAGAAGCGGATCCCAGGAGAGCAGGCTGGACCAGGGAAGAGCGGGAGCATGCGGCGTCACAGAAGGGTTGGGGTGGGGGCGACAGCTGCCGTAATTCGTTTTCACGCTTCATTGTTTCATATAGAAGTCAGAGGGATGACACGAAGACCTCATGACAGTTTGGAGTCAATCAGAAAGGTATTCTCAACCATAAATAACCTTCTCGAAACACTGGGTGTGAATTGATCCTATTATGCGCCGTTGGGAACAATGAAACGGAGCGATAGTATGTATGTAGGAGGAAGCGGGAGGGACAAGCAGGAAGCAGGGGAGGAGGACGAACACATAGAAACCGGTAGATGGATGAGCATGAGGTAAAGCAGAAATGATACGAGCCGTCCCTCAGGGGAACACGCAGTGAAAAAAGTGAGGGGGGGCAGCACCTTCTTCGACTTCCTCCTGTCGTAACTTCCCTTATCTCCTGGACGGTCTCTCCTATTGGCGCCGCAAATACCTTTATCAGCTTATGAATGCCCTTTGGGGCGGTCGTGGGGATATCCGGGGCTATCGTGGAGCCCGTATTGACTTCTCTTCGGGCTCTTTCGGGTGGTCTTGTGGCTGGGTTTCCCTATCAGAAGCGAACCAACGATATGCTTGAGCCATTTCAGGTGTTTGAAGGCCTTGGACATTTTGGGAGCATCCTTGGATAAGTTCGGAGCCCCCTGGACTTGGTTTGTAATTGGTTTATGCATCCTTGGGGCAAACCGAATGGGAGGTCTTACTTATTCCATGGAAGGCAATCTTGATGTATCCGGGAGCATATTGGATCCGTCCGTACATCGATTTGCTGATACCGCAGTCCCCCGCCTTCCATTCCAGACCCCGTCAAGATCCCAACGGGAAACGCCACAGGTTGTCTCGTTCACTACCACCCGCCCCCGCACAACATAACTAGCACCCGAGATTCCGCCTATGCGGCGGTCCCCGTCGAATGCATACCGTCAGGCGCCACTCGCGCGAACCAGATGCGCAAGGTGCCCCAGTGATTCAGACATGGGGGTTCAGAAGGTAAATATTTGTAGTGCTCATAGCGATCATCCCGTCGGCGTCTGGCTCAAGACGCCAGCGCCCTATTTGCTTGGATTGCTTGGTGATTCGGCAGTCCGCAATCGCACTTTAAACAACATGTGATATATTTTCTGGATAGTGCCCCATCCTTCATCGACCTTCCAACCTACTACCACATGGTCCTCATCACGTTTTTAACAGTTGGTAGCGGAACTGGCCCCGTTAAGTTGTGGTCAGGTTTGTTGATCGCATACTTATCCACGGCACGGCTTGGTATACCGTTAGTACCACTGCGACGTCAGAGCGCGACTACTGGCAAACAGGCGGGGGCGCCCTTAGCGGACACGCTACATCCACTATGTGTGACATCCCTTTGGCCTCCTCCGAAAAGCGTATACGCCACGTCTTTACGCCACTACGCCCCGATTTACTATGAGTTTGGGCTCAAGATCAAGTACCAGCTTCCGTTACGCGGAAGCGCAGACCCCATATTTTTGAACCAACATGGGGATACGCTCCCAGAGTCAATCCGCCGCCAGTCGGCGATGGACATTTCGAAGACGACCAACGACAATGCCTATACTTCCGTATGGGATCCGTACTTGACGCACGTCACGTTTGCCATTATTTGGCGAGCCATTGGACGTGATATATGCTACATGCAACGCGGTATCCACGACGACGGAGGCGACAAGACGGCACGGGGCCCATATTGGGACCCCTCAAGAAACGCATCGTTCCTAGAGTTCACCCGTGAGGCACATGCGTGGCTGAACGTTTCAAGTGCCCGCGTGACCCCACAACAGCAGGCTGCACGCTTGCAACGTGGTCTGGGACTGGTGGCCCGCGCAATCGCGATTGGAATCGCTCCCCAGATCATCATCTACGGCGCGACGATAAGGGAGTCAACACGGACCCCGCCACATGCAGAATCTTCTTCTTGAGCGCCAATTTCGAGAATCTTGAGGACGAGGGTCAGCTCACCTCGGGGACGGCGCTCATATAATTCAGTCATGAGCCTTGTGACAGAGAAGATTCGGTCCTCGCCATGTTCAAGATGGCCCGTCTTGAGGCCGACTCGGTCGGCTTGGCCATCCCGTACATTCAGTTAATTACTCACGACGGTGCTCCTGAGAGCCTTAAGGTTCGACCCTGGCACGGCTGCCCGCGTGTTTCAGCACCTCAATGGTCAGATGCCACGGGCCCAGCAACAGTATGATGAACTGCTGGGTCGCATGCGCGCGTTCGACCACTGGGCTGAACGTGCCCCGGGCAGCATTGGAAACTCGTTGCCGGCATGCACAGGGCGCGGAAAAGGGAGACACATGCATGACAAACGCCGGCGGAGACGCGGCCGCGCCCGCCAGCGCGTGGGCTGACGACCCACACGTACACCAGAGGAGTCCACAGCACTACTTGCCACGCTTCATCGTGGTCAGGGGGCGGCAGAAGCTGCCCCGCGTCATCAGCGCACCAAAGCTGGGGGCAGCCTTCCAATCCCCACTCATGCGCCGCTCCTGGGAGACAGACCGTCCCGCGGGGCTGAGCCTCCAATTGGGGCTCTCCCTTCGACTCTGGAACAGATGCCGACTCGTTATCATTGGGCGGAGACCCCCGGTCTCGGCGACGCGGAAACCGCATGGAATTGCACCATCGGATACCAGCGCGCGAAACGTTGGAGGCGGCCCATCAGAAAACCTACACGGCGGGCGCGCAGAGCGGTGCGAAGGGCATCCCATCGGCGGGGGAGGGGCCGAGGCACGGGTGGGCGTCGCAGCCGACGGTTGCGCGGTAAAGATTTCGCCGCGTGCCCATCGGAAAGCATTGAAGCCGAATGCGAGGGGCATCTTCCCAGGAAGACGTCGGGGCATGCGCCGTGCCTCTGGCGAAGGAAAAGGCAGAATTTGAAGCCCCGTGGGCCGCGGCGGGAATCGCGCGGCGTGCAATCGGCGCGGTGGCGACGAGCGCATTCGGTGTTCGC